TCTTCACAAATTATTTATTTATTATTTTTTTCTAAGCTTAAGTTTGACAGTACACAGTAAAAAATTTACAATTGTGAATTTTTGTTAATGATGAGCACACAGAATAAAATTGCATGCACTTAAAAAAGAATGACCAATGTAATTTCAAGTGTATCGGATACCCTTACTGCCTTTTGAACAGCGAGTCGTCTCTACTGGACTTTGTTAACTTCTACCTGAACTGTAACAACACTACCTCCTGTTATACCTGTTTCATTTTCCTTGCTGCAATAAAAACTTTCTGAACAAATGAAAAAAAAGTGACAAGATTTTATTCTTTACATATTATGAATGTCCACATATGATGTACTTTACATTTGTTTTTAGACTTTACACATAAACTTATGCAATGAATTCTGTCAGTAAAAGCTGACAGCTACAATAGATGTGTCATACCATGGTAGAAAGGAGGACATTGAAGATAAATACTGAAATTACTGAAATAAAACTTATGTATCAGTTTAACCTTTTAGGGCTCTTGCACAGGGGTGTCAGAGCCTCTGCAGTGTAAATTCTGGTGTATTTTTCCTGCTTGAGGAGCCCAGGTGCTATGTACCAACTCAGTCCTCCCAGTACACTCATCATGCTGTGAGAGAGTGTAAGAGGAGGAAGATGGTGACTACACTACCCATGTGTCCTAGAAGTTTGTGCCGGAGGTTGCCCTGGTGGACACTGGGGTACACCTAGACCATAACACCTACTTTGTTCTAGAGCTCGTGGAAGGATTGGAGAGCTTGTGTCTGCTATACAAGATACGACCGTTCCTAACCTCGGAAACCACTAAGCAACTCATTCACTCCCTTATTATATCACGCCTTGACTACTATAACTCCCTCCTCACTGGCCTACCTCACCGCAGGCTATCCCCACTACAGTCCATCATGATTGCTGCCGCCAGACTCATTCACCTTACTAACCGCTCTATATCTGCCACCCCTCTCTGCCAATCCCTCCACTGGCTTCCAATTGCCCAGCGGATAAAATTCAAAACTCTAACACTGACGTATAAATCGGCTCATAACACTGCCCCTAATTACATCACCTATTTGTCTCTAAATACCACCCAAACCGTACTCTCCGTTCCTCGCAAGACCTCCTATTCTCTAGCTCCCTTGTCTCCCCCTCCCATGCTCATCTCCAGGATTTCTCAAGGGCTTCACCCATCCTCTGGAATTCCCTACCCCAAGCTATCAGGCTATTGCCTACTCTGCTCACCTTTAGGCGCACTCTGAAAACCCATCTCTTCAGGGAAGCCTACCCCGCCCCCAATTAATACTGGAATCTACTACTCCTCCTACCACTCCATCCCCCACAGCTAATTACCTCTTGTACCACTATCCCCTCCCTCCTAGATTGTAAGCTCCAAGGAGCAGGGCCCTCTAATCCCTCTTGTATTGAACTGTATTGTTACTGTACTGTCTCCCTCCATAATTTAAAGTGCTGAGCAAACTGTTGGCGCTATATAAGTCCTGTATAATAATAATAATATGTCCTGAGTGCAGGAGACCGACCGCTCTGATCGGAGCATGGATCAAGTGCAGGCACTGTGAGGTACCATTGACCAGGCTGCTGCCCAGTGATCTGAGCACATTAGACTGCGTACTGAGAAGCAGGAGTGGCAAAAGGTTGGAGGATGCTTTGCGTTGGATTTCCAAAGGGGTTGAGCCCCAGGACCCCAGCTCCTCCAAACTTTCACCAGACTCTATCATCAGATGTTGGCCTGGTGTAACTTACCCACCGCCCGGAGATGCTGATGGGCTGGTGCCCTCAAGCACTGCCCAGCACTAGCCAGCAGATGTCCCAGAGATGCTGGCCTCATCCTCCAGCCCTGCACAATCCGTCCAGCAGGAGCCAGTCAGTGAGGACAACCATTCCTCAGGTTAGCCAGTGGAGAGTGTCAGTGGTGTGGAGGTGGATTGGGGGTCCCCCAGAATCTTAGCACGATCAGGGCTGTTAGAGGTGGAGGAAGAGCAGGAAGACTAGTCCCCTGAAGACTCAGAGGAGGAATGGGATTGGGGGGACACTACAAAGGACTATAAGTCCTTGACAGGGTGGTCAGGGAGCTTGTATACTTCAATTTCTGCTTAACCTCCACACAGGGCTCAGCCTGTTTGGATGCCCCTCAACCAAGGCCTGAATTTGCCACACTCTGGCCCAGGACCAGAGCCAGGAATCCTGAATTTAAAATGCTGATCTGCAGGGCCCTAAACCCCTGTTTTTACCTGGGAATTGGGTGCAAGAACAAGATACCCTATATTTCAGAGGGCTATACAGAAACGAGTGGCTCTAGAGTGGGGATTGAACTACCCCTACATCCCCTAGGACATCATGCACATTATCAATAGCTCCAGACAGTAGTGGGAGGATGACCTCATCTGGGACTATCTCCATGTACTCAAACCGTTAAAGGGGCCCTACCTTTTAAAAGCCTGGAGCCGCTTTCAGGACATTAAACAAGAATGGAGCAGGGGCTGGGCTATCTACAAGGATAGAGTAGTGGTCGTCAAGGCAGGGAGGCCTAAGGTGGCCTACTGTATCACTGTTCAATTGACTGATGGCACCACTGTCAAATTGCCCAGCCCCAACCAATACTGCTGAGGATTGATGCAGGATACCAACCCATCTTGGATGCTAGAGACTTGGCCGGACTCTGTTTTGGTGCACTAGATATGTTGGTCTGGGGTCCTACAAAGAGCCCACCTAGCCTTACCATTTTTTGATTGGGAGGGGATCCTCCTAAATTTCTATTTCAAGGACTCTCTTTTTTGAAAAAAAAAGGGACATTCTTAAATACCTAGTTAGTCAATTAAAGCTAGTGATGTGCTTTGTTCTTAAGTATTTTTGTCTTCACTGTTCCTCAGGTTCCTCAAGGTGGCTGTTCGCTCTGCACCAAGAAGACTTTCTGCTCTCATGGAGGATTTCCCTTGAGGGGGGAGGTGCTCCATGATACAGTAATATATATTTGTACATATCCTTCTTTGGTACTCTGATTATCTCCTGCTGTTAGCCGCAGTTCGCTATAGTCAGGCTATATATATGTTTTTTTGTTATGTGTAAATGTGCAAAATGTACATATTTAATTTTCATACCTTTATTTATTTGTACATACTTTTTCCCCTTCCTAATTTTATTCCCTTTTCCCCTCCCCTTGTTCTGCATGGGATGCCCTGCTCCTGGGCTCAGGTGCCATTTTTGTTGTTCCTCCAGCCAGTGAGGACATGGCTGTTTTTCAGTGGGGGGTGAATGTAGCACTCTCCTAGTTAGCTAGGAGCAGCTAGTTGATTATTTTTGTAGTTAGGAGGCTGAATAGCAGCCAGGGAGAAATAGTCAGAGTGTCAAACTTGGGTCAGGTCTGAGAGGCTCTGCAGATCAACTCTCTGGATCTTCCCCCTGATCTAGAGACTTGGAGAAATCTCTAGAATTCAGTGGGTGGGGATGAGGAGTTGCTGGTCTGCACTCTTAGGGGATCTTGACCAAACCCCAAGCAGGTGTCTTGGCATTGGATGAGGACAGCCCTTAAGAGGGGCTAAGCCTGCTCAGCAGCAAGAGAGTTCGGGTGGAAGATGGAGTGAGCAGGATGATGTGTGGAGCCTGGGAGAGGGTCCAGGAGAGGAACCTACCTACAGGTGGAAGAGCTGGAAGAGAGGATCTCTCAACCTCATTGTATCCTGAGAGAGGACAGCCTGGCAAGCAGGGAAGGAGCCAGCCCAGCGTAAGGCCTGAAGGCAACCACCATCCCACAACCTTGCAGGAGAGACTGAGTGAGTAACCCCACACACTCTGAGCTGGATAAGAGGAAAGGACATTCGGGTGGGAAACCTGACTAGCACCCATCTGGGACTGCTTGCCTTTAAAGTGGCAGCTTCTGGGACCTCTTGGCCAGGAATTCCCTCAGGCAGCTGGGGAAGAGATTTAATCTGGGATCTGAGTGGTACGCAAGGAGAGGCTGGATAGCTCTCCAAAAAGAGAAAATCTGACTACTTGTACATTTTTCCAGGATGTTGTCCTCAGTTCTACAGTTCCTTGGGCATCCCATGTACCCCTCATTCCCATTAAAGTTTCAATCCCCTAATAAAATCCAAAAAAACAAGTTCAATGACTGTTTACTGTCTCTTTATTGCAAGGTTTGAAGGAAATGCGTGTTGCCTGGCTGTGCAGGACTATAGGGGGACCCAAATCTCTAGCGACTCCTTAGGGGGTAGTCAGGGGTGGACTGACAACTCATGGGGCCCCCGGGCAATAGGGGATCATGGGGCCCCTGTGTCCTTGCCCAAACTCAAAAAAGCCTATGAAAAAGGTACCAGGGGCATTTCATGGGGCCCCCTACTGACCCCGGGCCCTCTGGCAGTGCCTGAGTTTTCCAAATGGTCAGTCCGCCCCTGGGGGTAGTGCTACATGAGCATCCCTGACAGTGATGTATTGTTTGTCTCAACCCTCTAACTGCCACTTTTGCTGGACAGCTTGGGCTATTTAAAAGGAAACTGAAAAATAAAAGACTTATTTGGGAGTTCATTAGGAGAAAATAGCACTGCTAGTGGAGGAATGAGAAGCAGTGTAGGTGCTCTCCACTAATTTGTATGACTAGTTTCTATTATTTGTATTTAGCTATTTTTACTAATGAGGAAATGTAGATGCAGTACTGCGTGATATCACTCACCTCCATTTAGTAGGCTAAAGTAGCAGTGTGCAGACCATGCAGCCAGTAGTGAATAGTAAAATCACGCACCCAGTCCTGACCGAGTCTTCAATTCAAATCCATTGCACAATGGGACATGAGCAGCTGGGTGGGGCATGCGTTCTGGCTGGAGCAGCTCCTGAGTCTTTAAACTATCATTGGCATACTGGGGTGTGGGGTGGCATGGAGGCACATGTTTTTAGACAATGTAACTTTGGGCAACCACAGGATAAGACTAGTAGGCACTGCAGCCACCAATGCCCTAATTAAGGGAAGCTTCAGGTTTTGACAGGTTTTTGTGAAGCAACACAAATAATATTTTTAATTATATATATTTATATAGTGGGACTGCAATAGTGCAGCGGGCAATCTGACACTAACTGAAGCTGAGGAGAACTAATTGCTACTGACATCTCCAGTGGCTCTAATACAGTGATCAGTGATAATTCTATATACTGTCACTGTACTAATGACACTGGCTGGGAAGGGGTTAACATCTAGAGTGATCAGGGGGTTAAATGTGTGCCTAAGAATGTGTATTTGTGTGTATTATATGCATCTTTTACTAATAGATCTCTTTGTTTCTCATCTCTGCTTTGCAGAGATGAGAAACAGAGAGGTTGTTCTCTGTGTGCAGATCCCTGTGTTGATTGTCAACAAAGAGTTCTGGGCTGTGATTTCACATAGCCAATCAACAGATTCGGGGCCATAATCACTGGCTGGGATTTGATGACAGACTCCCACTGTGTACAGTCACAGTGGGAATAGGTGGGCAGGGGCCCTGTGCCTGTAGCTGCTACTGGCCTCAGTATATGTACTGCTGGATCGGCAAACGGTTAATAGAAACAAACATTGTTTTTTCCTTGATTGAAAATATCCTATTTTCATCTTTCTCTAAACCAATTCTATATAAGCTTTGCATTTAATCAGTTCCCAACTGCTCTATAGCCGAAGGACGGCTACAATGCGTTTATATGGTTCTGGGACGACATCCATGGACTGCATTTCAGAACATGCCCCCACAGCTACGGACACAGCTGATCACATCATAGGGTAAACGGCCAATCACAGTGGCCTTTTACCACGTGTTCAGCTGTGTCCAATGACACAGCAGATCACCGGGTAAATATAGTTTCCGTTTATTGGCTGCACTTTCCTCATGCTGTCATAGTTTGAGGAAAGTACTGCCGAGAACCGGCAATTGTTAGCAGAGGGATTGGCACTGATCAGCAGCAGTGCCGTCCACCTGTGCCGCCCACCTGTACCCATCAGTGCCACCTACCTGTGCCCTGCAGTGCCACCCACCTGTGCTGATCAGTGCTGCCCATCATTACCCGTTCAGTGTCCATCAGTGCCGCCCAGCAGTGCTGCCTATCAGTGCAACATCATCAGTGCTGCCTATCAATACTGCCTATTAGTGCCTCCTACCAGTGCTGCCTATCCGTGTCACCTCATCAGTGCCCATCAGTGCTGCCTCATCAACCCACATCAGTGAAAGAGAAAAATTGTTGGCAAAATTTTATAATGGAAACTAAGAAATACTTTTTTTTCCTCTTTCTTTGTTTATAGTGCAAAAAATAAAACACCCAGCAGAGATTAAATACCACCAAAAGAAAGTTCTATTTGTGTGAAAAAAAGATAAAAATGTCATATGGGTACAGTGTTGCAAGACCACGCAATTGTCAATCAAAGTGCGACAGCGCTGAAAGCTGAAAATTGGCCTGGACAGGAAGGGGGTAGAAGTGCCCAGTAGGCGAGTGTTTAGGACAAATAAAAAAAACACTTTTTTTCTATTTCTTTTCCATTTTATTTCTTTTTGACATAAAGCATAATCATCTTGTCTTTGATACAGCGTGCCCTTCCATTGACAAATGTTGCCTTTATAGAAAATTCCATACATATAACAGAATCATGTAACAAAAGTTCTTTTTAACAGTGTTCAGTTTGTTATAACCATTATTTTATTTACTAATGAAAAGGGGAAGTTAATAATATTATTTATATTTTCTATTTTTTCCTCTGTTCTAACATCATTCTTTTCTTTTCTTAAATCCCGCTGATAGGCTTTATTCACAAACTCCTGGAGATAATTCTTCTGCTGACACCATTGTTTAGGACACAGCAGTATCTGTACAAATTATTCTAAGACTTACCTTTAGGCAGACTTTGTAACTAAGGTTGATAATGAAAACTTGATAAGTGAGAAAGAAAAAGCAAGAAAGACTCAGAGTGGAATCTAATATTTCATATACCCAGCTGATAGGCGCAGCATTGATGGCTCAGTATGAAGAAGAATATGAAGAGCAGCTTGCAATGAGGCAGGTTGTAGAAACATGGCAATGGATGTAAAGACAGTAGCAACCCTACCTTGGGTGGCCCATAGGAAGCTTACAGGTGAAACTCGAAAAATTAGAATATCGTGCAAAAGTTCATTTATTTCAGTAATGCAACTTAAAAGGTGAAACTAATATATGAGATAGACTCATTACATGCAAAGCAAGATAGTTCAAGCCGTGATTTGTCATATTTGTGATGATTATGGCTTACAGCTCATGAAAACCCCAAATCCACAATCTCAGAAAATTAGAATATTATATGCAATCAATAAAACAAGGATTGTACATAGAACAATATCGGACCTCTGAAAAGTATAAGCATGCATATGTACACAGTACTTGGTTTGGGCCCCTTTTGCAGCAATTACTGCCTCAATGTGGCTTGGCATGGAAGCTATCAGCCTGTGGCACTGCTGAGGTGTTATGGGAGACCAGGATGCTTCAATAGCGGCCTTCAGCTCTTCTGCATTGTTCGGTCTCATGTCTCTCTTCTTTCTCTTGGCAATGCCCCATAGATTCTCTATGGGGTTCAGGTCAGGCGAGTTTGCTGGCCAATCAAGCACAGTAATCCCACGGTCATTGAACCAGGTTTTGGTGCTTTTGGCAGTGTGGGCAGGTGCCAAGGCCTGCTGGAAAATTAAGTCAGCATCCCCATAAAGCTCGCCTGTGGAAGGAAGCATGAAGTGCTCCAAAGTCTCCTGGTAGATGGCTGCGTTGACCCTGGACTTAATGAAGCATAGTGGACCAACACCAGCAGATGACATGGCTCCCCAAATCAACACAGACTGTGGAAACTTCACACTGGACTTCAAGCATCTTGCAGTGTGTGCCGCTCCATTCTTCCTCCATACTCTGGGTTCTTGGTTTCCAAATGAGATGCAAAAGTTGTTCTCATCAGAAAAGAGGACTTTGGACCACTGAGCAACAGACCAGGTCTGTTTTTCTTTAGCCCAGGTAAGACGCTTCTGACGTTGTTCAGGAGTGGCTTGACAAGAGGAATATGACATTTGAAGCCCATGTCCAGGATCCGTCGGTGTGTGGTGGCTCTTGATGCACTGACCCCAGCCTCAGTCCACTCCTTGTGAAAGTCCCCAACACTTTTGAATGGCCTTTTTCTGACAATCCTCTTCAGGCTGCAATCATCCCTGCTGCTTGTGCACCTTTTTCTTCCACACTTTTCCCTTCCACATAACTTTCTATTAATGTGCTTTGATACAGCACTTTGGGAACATCCAACTTCTTTTGCAATTACCTTTTAAGGCTTTCCCTCCTTATGGAGGGTGTCAATGATGGTTTTCTGCACAACTGTCAGGTCAGCAGTCTTTCCCATGATTGTGATTCCTACTGAACCAGACTTAGAGACCATTTAAAGACTCAGGAACCCTTTGCAGGTGTTATGGCTTAATTAGCTGATTAGAGTGGGACACTTTGAGCCTAGAATATTGCACCTTTTCACAATATTCTAATTTTCTGAGATTGTGGATTTGGGGTTTTCATGAGCTGTAAGCCATAATCATCACAATTACGACAAATCCCGGCTTGAACTATCTTGCTTTGCATGTAATGAGTCTATCTCATATATTAGTTTTACCTTTTAAGTTGCATTACTGAAATAAATGAACTTTTGCACGATATTCTAATTTTTTGAGTTTCACCTGTATATCATGGAACAGAAAAGTGAAAATACATGGGTGAGAATTGCAGATGTATCTGCCAAACACTAGTTCATGGGGCTCAGAATGATGGTAACTACGAAATTGCAAATAGTGGGCAGCACAGTGGCTTAGGGTTATCAGTTATGCCTTGCAGAGCTTGGCTCAAATTCCAACCATGATACCTGCATGGATTTTGTATGTTCTCCCTGTGCACTCATGAGTTACTTCTCACACTCCAAAGACATGTTGGCAGGTTAATTGGTTCCTGTCTAAATTGACCCTAGTATGTGTATGCATGTGAGATAAGGCCCTTAGATTGTAAACTCCTTGAGTGCAGGAATGATGTCAATGTACAATATATGTGCTGCTCAATCACTTCAATACCGGGGCACTTTTACCCCCTTCCTGCCCAGGCCAATTTTCAGCTTTCAGCACTATCACATTTTGAATTACAATTGCGCGGTCATGCAACATTGTACCCAAACAAAGTTTTTATCATTTTTTGCACACAAATAGAGCTTTCTTTTGGTGGTATTTAATCACCTCTGGGTTTTTTAGTTTTTGCTAAATAAAAAAAGACAGAATATTTTGAAAAAAAATGTTTTCTTTGTTTCTGTTATAAAATTTTGCAAATAAATAATTTGTTCTTCATAAGGTTAGACCATAATGTATTCTGCTACATTTCTTTGGTGAAAATAACCCAAATCAGTGTTTATTATTTAGGTGTCCTTTTATCATGCAGTGGTAAGTGACCGCTGCTCAGTTCTCCAGCATTCTCAGAGGAGAGAGTTCTCCTCTGAATGCCTTTTTATGAAGCGGTGTAGATGGCTTCTCCAAATGAGGAGAGAAGCGATCTACAAATGCTTTGAACGCTAGAAAATGGCTGCTGTTACTGTAATCTTGAGAGATTACAGTAAGAGATCAGTCAAACACTGTTTACTAAGCAGCGCTAAATTATTGCTGCTTTGTTTGCAGTTCCCCCGATTCTCCAGCTCTGTGCTGGAGAATCTGGATGGAGAACAAGACAGTACAAATATCCTCAAATGACCCCTTTTTGGAAAGTTGATAGTCCAAGATATTTAGTAAGAGGCATGATGAGTTTTTTGAAGTTGTAATTTTTTTATTATGATTTTTTTTGAAAATGAAGAAATTAAAAAAAGCAAGAATTTTACTGAATGATATTGATTCATATAGCGTGTTTTGTTGTGATAAGCTGTGATTGGCAACAGCTAATCACATGGTACAATTGGGCTGTGATTGGCCCTGTCTCTACCATGTGATCACCGTGAACAATCACGGCTAGCAACACAATTGTACACATGAATGGTATGATTCTAGCAGCGGAAAGTACACCGTTGGTGACAGACCGTGCCTGCAGCACAGCCGCACAAGCCATGTGCGAGGCTCGTTCCGGCAGGACATCACATGACGTCCACCTGGAGCAACGAAAATCCCACCCGGCCTTCAATTTGCTATAGGCTGGGTGGGATGTGGTTCAATTGTCCTGTAATAAGTAAATATAAGAAGCTCAAACAGCTAGTTAGTTCAGTACCGGGCCACGTCACTTAGCTGAATTAAAAGAGAAAACCATAACAAGGCCAACAAATGCATTGTGTACTGCTGTAAAGAAAGGCATGTTATGCCATTACTACTGAACACTGGATACAACTGGCTATGATAGCTGAGAATTACCTACAAAACAGTTTTTCAGGGAATTCCAGAGTAAGAAATTTGCAAGTGAGTTTAACACAGTTAACAAACTCTGTATTCTAGTGGGGGTAGTGACTTCAGCATAAACTATAGTTGGCAAATGCTCTTGTCACACTAGCTAGGAATTCATTGTAAAAATTGGACTCTTGAGAAAATTGCACAGGATCTTCAAGGTTGTAAGACATGGAATGAAAATAGGATACATTTAGGAGCTGCTGATATATATACAGTATGTACTGCCTTGTATCAAAAATGATACAAAAAAATGATACAAACTAGGTGCTTGTCACAAGGGCAGGATACAATCCCTGGTCCAGATACAATTTTATTCCAATAAAAGTCAGGGGGACAATCCCAAAAGAAAAGCCAACCCACTTTGGGGGTCCAAGAGTGCTCCCTTCATCAAGGCTTGATTGACAACAATGTGAATAGCCTAGAAGTAAACTGGACTTTTACCATTATCTTTTCCAGTGTGAATGCAAGCATAGGTCTTGTCAGTAGATGGTTTGGCAGTTATAAAAAAGGTTCATTCTGACAACTCCAAAGATCCTGTGCAGTTTTATCAAGAGTCTTGCTGCCCAGTTTTTACAAGAAATGTATACCTAGTGTGACAAGGGAATTTTGGATTGCCCCACCTGACTTTTATTGGACAAAAGTTGTATCTGGACCTCTTAGCAGTGGTGTGGCACTTCAATTTCAATTTTTGTTACAATACACTACAGGCTGTGGAGATTCTCTGGGGTGTACAAACTGACTGCCTGGGAACCAGATCATTTACATTAATATTAATACTTTAAGACAGCAATACCAGTGAGATAATCCTATAGGTCCAGTGCTATTTTTCCACTTTCCTGAACAATAATTGCAGAGATATTGACTGCGGCAGGGATCAGCACTGCCTGCCCTTTAAAAGGGCAGCCATGATATCTCAAATAATTGTTCAGCATACAATGGCAGTTGAGCACCATACCCAAAACTTCAAAAAGACAGTTGCCTCAAAACTTCCCACTTGGTACTGATGAGAGGATAAAGGCCATCAGCTGGGT